ACCCAGAAGACATTTGCCAGAAGTGAGGCAGAAATTATTCATAATAAACAAACAAACACTTGCATTAGAAATAAAGAGCTTTTAGAAACCTGCCATCCTATTAATGGGTAACACCTTCTTAGTGTGCGTGTTTAGGCAGGAAGACGTACTAAGATTCCCGGCATTCCCCGGGACTTTTCCTGCGTGAAACACATAGGATTACATCCTGAATTTATTAAAACATTGCAAGCCTAATTATAAATGCAGGTGTAGATCAAGCTCACCAATGATCTGACACCAAGTTCAGGAAACAATAGACTAACAGAGCTTGTGCATTTGTTTAAAGAACCAGCCGGGAGACTGCAGAAGCTCCATCTTCAGCTCCCAGCGCTGCAGGCAATCAGAATGTGACTCAACACCAGGGAGTCCCGTATCAGCGACCACAGACCAACCTGAGAGCAGCCAGCGCCAGGCAGTCAATAACGCTCCAGAAAAAGCTCTCCAAGAATAGCCCTCAAGCACGCACAATGCCAGCCGGTTCATTATTAATGCATAAAAATGCTTTAAGCTCACTGCAAGCGCACCGGCCAATTAAAAGGTGCTTAAAGGCGAGCTGTGAAGGGGACCCTGCAAACTCCGTTTCAGATTAACAGAGGCGGCACAGCTTGGATCAACTGAGGCCTCGGGATCAACTGAGGCTGCCGGTACCCAGTGGGTCCTCACCCAGGGCAGTAGCAACGGGCACCATGTCGACGGAAACAGGCGTCTCCCGGCCCTCGCCGGCACAACAAAATGGTCGACTTCCCATCTGCTCAGGGCCTTCATCCACCAAGCCCTAGAAACACATTCCCCAACCCGGCGCCCCCCAGATGTGTGGGAGCCCTGCCGTTCTCCGTGCCGGCTTCAGGGTGACTGGAGTTTTATTCTGGCCCGTCTGGGAGGCAGCCGGGTGGGAAAGGCTGCTGCAGACCAACAGTGTGACTCAAGGTCTCCAGGTGAAACCACAGGACCCCCCCCCGATCGCCTCAGTGCCACCGGCTCCCCCACTCGACTGGACCCGGCAGGCATCGCCGTCTGGTTCACACGCCCCTTTGCCTCTTCTCCCGCACATCGCACTAGTGTGTGCCAGTGCCAGGACCCGATTCCGATGTGCGGAGCAGCAACACCTCCTGCTGCGAATCGCTGCTCCAAAAGCACGGCACGAAACGACCTTTTCAAGAGGCCGGCCGCCCCCCGGGCCTCGTGAGCGGCAGCCACAAGCCTGGAGAAGCCAAGTGACTCTGGAGAGCAGGGTGGCCACCCAACTCCATCATCAGAGGACCATTAATTAGGCAGCGCACTTTGGAACTGATAAGATACAAATAGCAATGGGAGAGCTCGGCACTGCAGACAAGGTGTAGCAAGAAACGTTCGTGGAGCGTCCTGCAGACTGTGGCATGCACTGCAAGACGAGAGCCGGGCGGTGCGAGGGCGCTGGCTTGAGCATGGCCTGGGTGCCCACGACTCGCTCGCCGGGGGTGGGGACGGTGCCCTCGGCCACCTGGCCTCTAAGGTGCAGGACGATTCCTTGCCCTTCTGGTGGCAACGGGGGCTCCGAATGGACCTCATCCATGGCGTTTGCGTAACAGGCACAGCTTCCACTTGCTAATGAAAAGGGCTGCACGCCCTTCCCTGCCCCTTTCCCTGGAGATCTAGAGCTCGGAGGGAGGGAAGAGGGCAAGATGACTTGGCACAAGGCAAACTGCGGGCTCGGGTGGGAAGACGCCGTGGCGCTTCAACAGGCCAGCGGTCAGGAATGCGGGGAGCTGACCAGCGAAGCGCCTGGAGATCCGCTCTCTGCCCAGCCCGTTGCCACCGAGAAGGACGGGCGGAGGCCGGTCCGGCTGCCCTGGGCTCTACTGCCCGTTCTGGCAGGATCGACAGCAGCGGGGCCTCAGCCCCCGGCTCACGGAGGCCGTTCCCTCGTCCGTTCACCCGCCCTGGGCCACCAGATGCCTGGCAGATGTCCCGGACAGCCACATCGTCCCCAGCAGCTGCAGCGCAGCACATCTGGGGGGCATCCGGTTGAGGAAGGGTGCTCCGGGCGCCGGATGGCATCTGAAGATGATCTGCGGTGCCAGAGCGAGGGAGGGCAATTATCCGGGGCACTGGAGCGAAGCCTCCCCGGGAGGAGGAATCTGCCGGGCCGGCAGCCTCTCCCTCCACGTGCAAATGAATCTGGCATCAGTGCCTCGCAGAGTTTACATAATCCAGGCTCCAACACAGCCCCAGAGGGCGTCTCCGAAAATAAATCCACCTCCCCAAACTGTGGGGAAGGGGCACCCCAGAATGGGGTGGAACTTAGCCCCCGGCAGGGACTGGGCCCAGCATCATGCCTGGAGGTCAAGGACCCGGGTGCAAGAGACCTGGGGGAGATTTTCCACCCCGCTATTGCTGGAGGAGAGCGTCCAACAAAGCAGCCCAGCAGGAGGGTGATGCCCACGGTCTAAGGCCGATCCAGTCATTCAACACCTGTGGAGAACCAGGCACTATCATACTCACAGGGCAGTGCTACCCTCTGGTCTAGAGGAAAGACACTCTGCACATCCTCAGAGACCCTCTGAGGGTTTTACTACTTCGCCCTGTTCCAGACAGAGCACAGGTTCAGACTGAGCCCTGTTCTGTGTCCTTGACTGCCTTTGCTCCACAGTAACCACAGTCACAACCCAGCCTCCTCCAACCCTCCAGATGGCTGGGGATGATGGGAGCTCAGTAGGAGGGCGTCAGGAAAGGGATCCAATCTGACCACCAGGCCTCGGCTCCGAACGGCGGGAGGGAGCGACAAAGCCTCTGAGCATGTGGAGCCTGCCGCTCCCACCCCCACCGGGAAAGGCAAGTTGCGCGCATCCAGCCGGGCACGTGCCCCCCCCCCCCCCCGCCGCGTCCTGGCACCTCCCGGCTGGCTCGGCCCCCGCGCGCGAGCCTCGAGGGGCGTCGGGAGGGCTTTCCCGCGGACCCGCGGGACCCGGGCCACGCCGCCCCCCACGCGCCGCGCGCCTCCGCCAGAGCCCCGCGGCGCGGCCGCCCCCCGCCCGGCGACCCACCTCCTTCTTGGCGGTGCGCAGCAGGCGCTGGCGCGTCTCGGCCTCG